TTACTTGCCTGATTTTTGTGGTTATAATTGATTTTACTGCTTTTAAGATTTAGCCTCCACGCTGGCTTTATAAGTGATCAATCTACCATTTTTATTATGTTTTCATGTACTTGTAAATTTTTTTCTTCCATAATTTTCATACCCCTGATTGTGGTCTTTCCTTTCCACTCAAATAACTCCTTTGAATGTTTTTTAAGCTATTTTAGTGGTGATGAACTCAAACTTTTGTTTGTCTTGGAAACTGTCTTGCCTTCTTTTCAGAATAAAGCCTTGTTGGATAGAGTATTTTTGGCTGTGGCATTTTTTTTGTTTTTTGTTTTTTTTTTTCTCCCTTTTAGCACTTTTAATATGTCATACCACTCTCCTCTGTCCTACAAAGTTTCTGCTGAATTATCAGCTGATAACCTTATGGGATTCCCTGTTATGTAACTGCTTTTTTTTTTCTTCTTTTTTTCCTCTTGCTCCCTTTAAAATTCTCTATCACTACATTTTGCCATTTTAATTATTATGTGTCTTGGTACAAACGTCCTTGGCTTCCGTTTGTTGGTAGCTTTCTGTGATTTTTGAATCTGGATATCTGTTTCCTTCCCCAGATTAGTGATTACTTCAGCCATTATTCTTCAAATAAATTTTCTGTCCCCTTTTCTCTCTTTTTTTTCTTTCTGGAATACCTATAATGCCAACATTACTACTATTGATGATGTTGCTGAGTTCCCTTAACTTATTCTAATTTTTCACTGTTCTTTTTTTTTTCTTTTTGCCAATTTTCTTGGTTTGTTTCTATTATTTTGTCTTCAAACTCACTGATCTACTTTTCTGTTTCCTCTAATCTACTATATATTCTCTCTAGTGTATTTTTTATTTCATTTATTGAGTTTTTCATCTCTGGTTCTTTTAAAGTATTTTCTCTTAATTGAAGGGATCCTCCGTTCTTTTCTCAAGTCCAGGAAGTATCTTGTCGCCATTATTTTGAATTCTTTATCAGGGTTATTACTTATCTCCATTCCATTTAGCATCTTTGCTGTTATTTTATTCCTGTTCTTCCATTTGGGACATATTCCTCTGCCTCATCATTTTGTCTAACTTGCTGTGTTTGTTTCTGTGTATTAAGAAGGTCAGTTATGTTCCTTATCTTGAAAGTTGTGGTGTTATGAAGAACAGATCCTGCAATGCCTTGTAGAGCAATGTACCTTGGTTACTCAGGCCAGGCACTTCAAGGCTATCTTCTATGTGTGTTCCATGCACCCTGATGTTGTGGCTGAGCCATGTTTGCCTTCAGTCTAGTCAGTTGCAATGTCCCCCTTTGCCTGTTGTGGACAGGTTTTGGTCCCTGTACCATTAAGGGGCCAGTCTAGGACTACCTTGTTCTTGTAGTTGTGTCAGACCTGATGCCTACCCTCAGTCCTTTTGTTGGGGCTGCTGTTGCACCAAACTGCAGGTTGCTCTCCCTACATTGTTCCCTGAGAGGATTTCCTTGATGGATGGAATGTGTAGTCAAACTCAGATGTCTGCCTTCACTTTATCTCTTGGGGTTGCAGTGGCCCCAAACTACAAGGCTTTCTCCTTGTGCTGTGTCTGGTGAGGTTTTTATTGACAGGGGAGGCCAGCAGTCAGATCAGGGATCTACCCACAGCCCACTGTTGGGACTGCAGTTGAGCTGATATATGTGGTTATCTTTTCCTCTTACCGGAACAGGGATCACTTTGGAGGGACTACTGATGAGTGGATTGGATTGGATGGGCAACTATGCAGGAGAACACAGGGACAGGGCCTTCAATGTTACTAAGCTAGGTGAAGAATGTTCAAGTTGGTTTCATGGTGTGTCTGGATATCTACATTGGGTATGGGGAGGTAAATTGTGCCCACCAGCTCTTTTGTTCCTGAAGTCTTTTAAAGAACCTTGTTCTTCCAACACATGTTCTCAGATTAGTAAATAGATTTCCTTCCGTTATATTCCAGGCACTTTTTCAAGCTGCTGCTTCTATGATGTGTCTTGCAGGGGTTATTACTCAATCTTTTTAATGGCTGAAGCTCAGTTTCCTTTCTGGCTCTCCCACAGCTAAAAATACTGATTTTGGGGGGGTGCTTCTGCCTTCGGCTCAGACATGATCTCAGGGTCCTGGGATCGAGCCCCACATTGGGCTCTCTGCTCAGCAGGGAGCCTGCTTCCCCATCCCCCTCACTCTGCCTACTTGTAATCTTCCTCTCTGTCAAATAAATAAACAAAATCTTTGAAAAAAATGCTGATTTTTAAAGCACCCAGAGTTATTCTTGCTTATTGTAATGGTGCAAAGTTAAGCCCCACTGGTTTTCAAAGCCAAATGTTATGAGGAGTTATCTTCCCAGTGCATGTCCCTTATGTCTGGGGTGCCTGGCATGGGGTTTATTCCTTTTCTTTCCCATTTTCTTTCCTTCTTCTCTGTCTTCCATTTGTGGTTAGTCTGGGCAGAAGTTTGGTTCACAGCCACAGCTCTGCCCCTACTATTATTTTTGATATATTCTCATCACTAGGATTAACTGTGGAGAATCTATTCTGCCAGTCTTTGGCTTGTTTCCTGGGTTAGCTGCACTGGTGTGGCTGCATCTAAGTGTATCTATGGGACAAGGCAAACTTAGAATTCACCTACTACACCATTTTCCCAGGATAAGCAAATCAAATTTTGTAGTAGACTTCAACTCTCAGAACTCAAAAGAACCTTAGGAATAAAAAGTCCAGCTATTGCATTTTACAGATGAAAAATTGAGGCCCAGAAACAGAAGTGATTTTCCCAAAGTCATATCACCAAATAGTGATAAAGTGAAGACTAGAATCCAGGTGTCCTAGTTCTCTGACCTGTGGTTTTACCCTTATACTCTGTTTCTCTCACCTTATGTGGCCTGTCTTGGGAGTTGAAAAAGCCAGCAAATAACACAATAGTTTTGTGGGTATATGGTTTTTCTAAAAGAAACAGTTGAAACTAAAACCCCTTTTTTGATATCTTACATGACTTTTGTCTGTGAAATATAATTTAAAAAATACTTGAAAAAAGTGCTTGAGAATATTCACCATTTCAATAAAATCTGTTTTTCTCCAGCTGGATTTGTCTAATGGTGTTTATGATTAATCCATGACTCCACTCAGTCACTGAATTCTGTCCTTATGAACTATTGCTCTAGTTTGTCCTCACATATTTGTCCCACTCAGATGGTACTTTGGTAGTTCTGGCTATGCCTTTACACACAATAAAGTACCAGTAGGCATCATAACTTTGTTGGTTTGTAATTTTCTGTCTGGGTTTTCTTTCTTACCCTTTCCCTGTAATAGATTACTGTGGATTCTGGGGCCTCTGAGAATGCCTTTTGGTTACTCTAGTCTATTTTATTCTCACCACTAATTTTTCCTTCAAGTCTTTTTAAAGCACTTATTGAGAAGTCCCTGTGTACCAAACATCTTATTTAATTAATGTTGGAAGCCAGAAGAAAAAGACAAATGACACATATTAAACATCTCTTACATGCTAAGCACTGTCTTACTGGCTTTTACTTAGGATATCTTATGTAATCTTAACAACAATGCTCCAGGAGTATACATTATTGTACTCATTGTATGAGAGGAAGAAACTGAAGCAGGGCAGGAAGAACAGAAACAAGTTGTTCAAGATCCCCCAACTGAAGCTGGTATTCAAACTCTAGTATCTTTGAAACAAGCCCCCTCCCCAAGGAGCTGGCGGTCTAGATGAGAAAAGATTCTTAAAAGGACTAGTCTCACACAAATTTGTTTATGTGGAAGCTATTATGTTGGTTGTCTGCCTTCTTTCTTTCCTGACTACTCCTCGCTTACACAGCATTTTCTGCCAACACTTAGAATATAATCTGGCTTCTCTGGTAATCCTAATATATTGCACCACCTAAGATTGTTCCCATCTATGTTCCTTTACCTACCTTCTTCTACAAAGTAAAATGAATCTTTTTTTGTATATTTCATCCTGTCCACTCTCCAAAGTGAAAACTGGCATATCTGATTGACTACAGTAAATGGGATAATTTGAAAATCTTCTTTGTAGTATTTTCATTTATTAAGAAACTCTTTGAGGGGCACCTGGGTGGCTCAGTCAGTTAAGCATCTGACTCTTGATTTTGGCTCAGGTCATGATCTCAGAGTTGTAAGACTGAGTTCCACATCAGCCTCCATGCTGGGTGTGGAGATTCCTTAAGATTCTCTCTCTCCCTCTGTTCCTCCCTTCTACACTCAGATTCTCTCCCTCTCTCTCTTTTTTTCTCCCCCTCATTTTCTCAAAAAAAAAAAAAAAAAAACAAGCCATTAAAAAAAGGAAATTCTTGGAGACAAAGTACATTAAAGGGCTGAATCTGTAATGGATATTTCAGGTAGGGTGGCAAGTCCAGGCAAGAGATCATTGTGCAATATGGAGCAGAAAGGAGTGGAGTACGGTTTTTGGTGCACCTAAACTACCCCACATGAGAAAGCATCTACAAACATTTCAAGGGTACCTGCAAGGCAGATTTTGGGGGGGGGGTAGAAGTTAATCTACCTCAGCATCAGCTGTGCTGATAGCCAGTGGCCATTTGGATTTCCCTCCATGTGTATTCATTAATCAGTGAAGCAGCTGTGGTTATGAGAGCTCAGGACAAGAATCCCCACCTGAGAACAAGTCAACTCCTATCCTCCAAATGGGTTGTGTTTGACTAGAAGCCATGGACTTTTTCCAGCTAGTTAAGAGCTCCTTGTGACAAAGAAGTGACATGTGAACCCTGCCACTGAAATTCCTATCATCTCTCACCATTTCCAAAGGCTACCAAGTTAAAAAAAAAAAAGATGTCAGATGATAAAGGGATTCCCACTCGACTTTGCTACCACCACCAGCTAAGTATAACTTTCTCCAGACTATTTTTGCACATGGTAATCCAGTTTTAGTTTCAGCATCCATCTGCTGAAGTATCCCAGCACTCTATGAGGATCTTCTTAATGCTGTACTTGACCACTGCTTTTCTATTTTTTTCAGGTATAAATGAATTAAACCAGTCAGATTCCCCATGGCTTCTTGAGAAGACCCTAATGCTATGACTAAGGAATTCCACTACCATTGGAGAAACAGTAGGTACTCAAATAGTCTTAATTCCATTTCGGCATTATCCCTAAAAGAGTGCTTTTTCACTCTGTGAAGAGTGGACTGAGAGCTCTCACAAGTCACCTCTCCTACCTCTGCTGGTCCATTGATAGATTCCCAGATAATGACCAGGTTCTTGCAGTCAATGAATGTAATCTTATAGAACATGAAAAGCTAGTGTTTCTGGAGTATTTGGTAGAATGTGATATTCTTTTAAGTATTATCTTGTTGAATCATATTGGAAATGAGGCAAAAAGAAAAATGAATCATACTGACCCTGACTATATTAAGAAAATGCAAACACATAAATATCACTCAGCACATATTCTCTACTCTAGACATATAGTAGAGAGTAATATATGTGCATTGAAGAAGGGGATGCCATTTACTGAGAAGAAATAATAGACTAGTTGTAAGTGAATCACATGAATAATAGGCAAGTGTCTATTTATTGATTGGTAAGCTTAAAAGTCATTGAATCTTAGGTTAAAAGCATATTTGGAAAATGCAGATTTTGGAGAGAAGGTAGTGTTTTTTATGTTTCTTTTGGCTTCTTTTTCTAGAAGTCTATTCTTAGAAAAAAGGTATTATTGAAGCACCAGCCTAGATATCTATTGTAAGAGAACTTGTTTAACACTTAAGCTCATTAAAAAAAAAATCAGCAGCAATATCTCATTGTAGCTTTGATTTGCATTTCCTTGATGATTAGTAACATTGAGCATCTTTTTATGTGTCTGTTGGTCATTTATGTCTTCTTTGGAAAAATGTCTATTCAGGTCCTCTGTTCATTTTTTAATAAGATTATTTGTGAGTGTTTGCTGTTGAGTTGTATGCATTTTTAAATATATTTTGGATATTAATGGAATATTGGATACATTATTTGCATACATCTTATTCTAGGTGGTCTTTTTATTTTGTTGATGGTTTCCTTTGCTGTGGAAAAGCTGTTTATTTTGGTATAATCCAAATAGTTTGATTAACAACAGGCAAATTATGGAAGCAACCCAAGAGTCAGTTGATAGATGAATGGATAAACAAGTGGTATATACACACATATATACACACAACGGAATGTTACTCAGCCATAAAAAGAATGAGATCTTGTTATTTGCAACAACATGGATGGACCTAGAAAGTGTTATAATAAGCAAACTCAGTCAGTCAGAGAAAGACAGATATGATGTGATTTCACTCACATGTGGAATTTAAAAAACAAAAGAAACAGGGGAACCTGGGAAGCTCAGTCAGTTAAGCATCTGACTCTTGATTTCAGGTCAGGTAATGATCTCAGGGTCTTGAGATTAAGCCCTGCATTGGGCTCCATCCTAGGTGTGGAGCCTTCTTAAGATTCTCTTTCTGCCCCCGCTACCACTCTCTCTCTCTCCTTCTAAAGAAAGTTAAAAAAAAAAAATAAAAAGACAAACATCAGTAGCAACAAACAGATTCTTGAATATAGAGAACAAACTGGTGTTTGCAAGAGGGGAGGTGGATGGGGGATGGGTGAAATAGATAAAGGAGATTAAGAGAACATTTATCATAACGAGCAGTAAGTAATGTATAGAGTTATTGCATCATTATATTGCACACCTAAAACTAATATAACACTGCATGCTAATTATACTTCAAAAAAATCAAGAGCAAAAGGACTGCACAGATCACTTTAACATGGAGAAAAAAAAAAAGGCTCTAAACGTGGTCACATTCACTTATAACCCTACCCAGGAATTCACGGATTTAAAAACTAAAAAAGCTCCTTAGAGTGCTCATATTCCTTGTATGTGAATATGTGCATGTTTAACATAAGTATTTAGTATATGGATTTATGGATATCTGGAAACAAAATTGAAATAATTCTATCTTTTCTTTATAGTTGCACTTTCTCATAAAAAAGAAAGAACCTCTGTTCAAGACCACTTGAGACTTTTCCCCTGATTTAATCAGGATGAGAGCTCGGTGAGACAAGAATAAAAAAAAAAAATAGATGCCTGTCTGAAGCACATTATATTTGCAGCACTCATAAATTAGTGATTAATAATAAGTGGGGTAGCCTACATGGCATGCTTCCTTTGTAAAAAATAATTATCTTTAAAAAAATAATTATCTTTTGCCTCAGTATAGTACTATACCTCTGTTGGAGGTATTAACAAATGAAAGAGCTGGTTGAACCTTAGTTCCTGTTGTGGTATAAAAGTCAAGTTAACTAAGGAAATTCAATAGCATTTTTATTTATTAATAGCCATAGAAGTCCCTAATCATGATATAACCTCAGGCTTGAGAAAGAGAAATACTTAACTATTACTACAAGCCAAAATAAATAAATAAATAAATAAACAAAACAAAACAAAGAACAACAATAGAAATTTTTACTAATAAAAAAAGATGCATGAGGAAAATATGTAATTTCTTATTATGATTTCCTCCTGGAGACATTAGCCAGCATTCAGTCTTTGGCCACAACAGTTAGATATGCATACAGTTATTTCGCACTGTTTAAAATGTTAAGAATTTATTCATTTTTAAAGATTTATTTATTTGAGAAAAAAAGAAAGAACATGAGTGGGGGTAGGGGCCAAGAGGGAGGGAAAGAATCTCAAGCAGACTTCCCACTGAGTGTGGAGCCTGACATGAGGCTTGACCTCAGGACCCTGATATTATGACCTGAGCTGAAATCAAGAGTTGGACACTTAAGCAACTGAGCCACCTGGGTACCCCAGAATTTATTCCTTTTTAAGAATATTTATATAGCACTTATTATAGAAGCTTAGAAATATTAACTGATTACTCATAGAGGGAGGCAGTATTACCTCTTTTTATAGATGAGGCAATTGAGCCGTGGAAATGTGTAAGTAACTTGCCCAAAGTCACACAGCTAGTCAGTGGCAGAGTCTGAATTTTTTTTTAATTGAAGTGTAATGAACATGCAATGCTATGTTAGTTTCAGATGTATAAAATATTGATTCAGTAATTCTATGCATTGCTCAATGCTCAATGATAACTGTAGTCACTGTCACTATACAATGTTAGTTATTACAATATTATTGACTATATTATTTATGCTCTTTTTTTATTTCCATGACTTATTTATTTTATAACTTGAATTTTGTACCTCTTAATCCCCTTTATCTATTTTAATCATCTTCCTAGCCACCTCCCCTCTGGCTGATTGGCTCCAGATTCCCATGCTCTTGTCAACTCTAAATGATGTTTCATTATTTATAAAATAACTGTATATTATACAAAAATTATATATACATCCACACATAAATATGACATGGAATACTAAGGCTATTTAAAACCCAGAAGTAAAATGATATAATATTACAATTAAATTGCCTATAAAAGTTATTTGGTTTAATCAACCCATTTTAAAGAAGAAATGAGGGAGGAAGAGAAGAAAATGCTAGCAGAGTAGGAGGACCTAGGTTTGCCTCATCCTAGGAACAAAATTAGATAACTATCAATCATATTAATCCCTTAGAAATAGATATAAAGCCTGACAGAATAAACTCTACAACTAAAGGGAGAGAAGAGACCACATAGAAGAAGTTAGGAAGAATGGAGATATGGTTTAGAGGAGAAATGGATTGTAAGTGCTGCAGAGGGAGGGAACCATGGTCACAGAGAAGGGTGAGAGAGAGATAAGCACACAGGGGAATGTGCACAAATGTTTGCCGAAGACATTGGCTTGGAAAATGAGAGAGGCTGACTTCCATGAGTTCTGGCAGCCAGCCTTGCTTAAATTCTGGAGTATTAAAGGTCAGGAGGTTTGACTGATGCCTGCAGGTCAGAGCCTTGAGGGCACTGCAGTACTCCTGGAGAGAAGGCAGGCAAAGAACAGAGAGGCAGAGAGGGTGGAAAGAGCAATCTGAAGAGTACCTGGGGCACAAATTTGAGGGATTATTCACTCTTCCCAGAGCATGTCACTGAGAGGCTGCATACATAAAGACACCTTACTGGGAACAAAGAGCTGACAGGTCCCTCACCCAGAAGACTAGCACAACCTCCTGCACATACCACTTCTCCAGACCAGAGAGTTCTACAGGGCCTCAGTTCTGGACAGGTCTCATTTCACAAGTAGACCAGAGCACACCTAGTTAAAACTCACCACATTAAGGCCAAATATGAAATACTGCCACAACAGGCAAGGAGAGCTTCTGCAGATGAGTGGCCTGAAGGACAGAACAGCTAAAAAACAAACAAACAAAACAACAACAACAACCAGCAGCATGCATACAGCAAATGTTGGTGACACACCCTCAAGCACCAGGGCACGGGCACTACATGACCTTGTCTTCATAAGGCCATTACTTTCAGGAAGAGAAGACATAACTGGTCTTTCTTTCTTCCTTCCTATCTTTCTTTCTTTTTTTAAGATTTTTTTTTTTATTTATTTGAGAGAAGGAAAGAGAAAGAGAGAGAAAGCATGAGCAGGGAGGAGAGGAGAAGCAAGCTCCCTGTGACCAGGAAGCCCAATGCAGGGCTTAATCTCAGGACCCTGAGATCATGACCTGAGCTGAAACAGAGCCACCCAGGCATCTCAAAACTGGCCTTTCTAACACAAAGAAGGCAGAAACTTAGACAAAATGTGAAGATGTAGGAATTTATCCCAAATGAAAGAATAAGACAAGGCCATTGCCAGAGATCTAAGCAAAAGAGGTATATGGAAGATGTCTGATGGAGAATTTAAAGTAGCAATCATGAGGATACTCAATGAGCTTCAGAACAGAACAGAAGACATCAGTGAGACCCTCACCGCAGAGATAAAATAATTGAAAAGATTTCAGATATGAAGAATGCAATGTATGAGGTTAGAAACAGGCTTGATGCAATGAATAGCTGATTGGGAAAAGGAGAGGAATTAATAACCTTGAAGACAAAGTAAGGGAAAGTAATTAAGCTGAACAAAGAGAGAACAAAGAATTATGCAACACAGGAATAAATTTAGGGAACTCAGTGACTACATCAAGCATAGTAACGTTTATTTTATAGAA